CAAATTTGTCGATGGCAGTACCTCGCGTCTACAAAAAGGAATCAGAGACAACCGAACTACCAATGGCGGTCAATAATACATGTGCCTCGACAGTAGTGCAACCAACAGATCAACCATTAAAGCAAACCCCACAAGAAGAAGATCCGGCTTTGTGTGGATGCCGGTCCGAGAGACAGGATCCGGAAACGGTATCTGATGAAGATGTGCTCAATTCGACGCTGTGTGCCATTGCAGAAGAAATGATCAACCAATATAACACCAAAGGAATTGATGTGGATGAGATTCGACGGAAAATTTGGTCTGGGTTCCGAGCAGGTGCGAATGGCACAGGCTGCAGAGTTCAAAATCACATTCTGTTTCAAGTGCTAGACGATATCAGCAGTGATGTTTGACTTTGGAATTGGTTTGGCTTCACAGTCATTGGGGGTATTAACATTTGAAGTGAACCTTTTAGTTCTAGCTGTCCCTGACTCTGAACAAGAGGATGAGCATGGGGACTACATTTGTTACCAAGAATCGCTTTCCACTCTGTCATCTTGTCATCTGCAGCCGTGAGCATTAAGTACACAAGTTCGGTCAAGACGCCGCCGACTACTAGAACAACTTTGTCCCGCAGCACCGGCTCCTCGGCGAGACCCCGAATGGGATGGGTTTTACGCCTAAACATCCCACCCAAGTTGCGGGATCACTCTACACCAACAAGCCCGTGCAGGATATTTTTCTGACCAGACCACACTGCTAGTCTCAGCCTAAGCACGGTTTCGCATCTCCTAGGACATTCTCACTTAATTGAGATCTGCAGAGTCGGGGTATTGTTGCCATTTCATGGCCTGAACCGAGAACCCGGGGTTACGGGGTTTTGGTCCGATGCCGGGGCATAATAGTGTGGGGGGACATTTTTCGGTGGGAAACATTTCGGTAGAGGGACATTCTCGGTGAAGGGATCCGGTACGCAGCACACACGAGCGTTGAAAGTTTGATTAGGCAACTATCATCAAACACTAAACCCGAAAGTAATGCTGGCCGGAGAAGGCGCCGACTTGGCCAAGATGTTGATCGGTATACTTTTTGGCCAAAAAGCCTCCGAGACATATGACATTAATGGCGCAAGCCAGAAACTGGAATCCCCGAGTCCGTGAGTCCGGAGTGCGGGGCTCCCGCACTCTCTCCACGGAAGCGAAAACGCTTAGCTGCGGATGGCGCCCATGGTTCGAATATATAGATGTATCTTGGGGTAGGAAATGGAAGTATGTTAGAGCAAAGCAATTGTTGTTATGAAGTCATAAATATGCATGGAACACTTTGTATTAAGATTGCTAGAAACAACCCCGGATGGACCAGGTCTGTTTCCCCACACTCACGGAGGTTTCCCCATTCGGCAGGATGAGCGATGATCTGTTGGACGCGAGAAAGTGATCAGATCAAAATCGAAGTAAGGCGATGGATTCAAGGAGAATTAATAATTAATAGCCCTGGAGTGTACATTGTGATGGTTTGAGAGGGCGTGGCTGGGTAATGCCCAGGTGTCTGACATCCTTGGGAAAGGGGTTGACTTCTCAACCTCTACCAGCCACAAATGTGCCTTGTGTCCCTTTCCAAGGATGAGTGTGTCTCCAACTTAAGTGAACTCCAGCTCCAGTAGGAATAAGCCATAGCCAATAATAGGACACGATATAATATGATGAGTGGGTGAATGCATACTTTGTCGATCCTTTTTTCCCTTTTCCCTTTTTTTTATTATTGATTTCATTTTATGGAGTAAATATTATACGCTATGCACACTATTAAATCCCCTGTGAGCAATCAAGAAACCAAATATTTAAGACCCCAGCCTTCCCCTCCGAGATCTGTGACTCGTGCCTTCCTCACGCCCTCTTCTTTCAACAACTTCTTTTGTGCTGTCTCCGTGAAATCCTCTCTAGCACTTTCACAGCAATGAAGTTCGCGTGGCTTGAGGTGGCCGCTTTGTCGGCCTCTGTGGCTAATGCGAATGTGAGCCCAATTCAAATCGTTTCGTAAGATCACTGCTAATCAAAGTCGCGTCAAAACAGTCGCTGGCCTATTCTCCTCCATATTATCCCTCCCCATGGATGACCGGCGCGGGCGAGTGGTCCGAAGCATACACGCGCGCCGTCGAGTTTGTCTCTAATTTGACATTGGCTGAGAAAGTCAACCTGACAACCGGTGCTGGTTGGGAGCAAGAACGATGCGTTGGTGAGACTGGTGGCATTCCCCGACTTGGCATGTGGGGAATGTGCATGCAGGACTCGCCATTGGGTGTGCGCTCTAGTAAGATTGCCCGACCCGAATAAGCTTGGCGCGGTTAACTAATGATGCCTAAACAGGTGATTACAACTCTGGTTTCCCCTCTGGTATCAATGTTGCCGCAGCATGGGACAAGCGACTTGCCTACCAGCGTGGTATGGCAATGGGTGAGGAGCACCGTGATAAAGGTGTGGATGTGCAATTGGGTCCTGTTGCTGGCCCTCTTGGCAAGTATCCCGATGGCGGTCGTAACTGGGAAGGCTTCTCACCTGACCCCGTTTTGACTGGTGTGATGATGGCCGAAACCATCAAGGGTATGCAGGATGCCGGTGTCATTGCTTGTGCTAAGCATTTCATTGGAAACGAACAGGAGCACTTCCGTCAGTCCGGCGAGGCTCAGGGATATGGGTACAACATCTCCCAGAGTGTGAGCTCAAACATTGACGACAAGACTATGCACGAATTGTACCTCTGGCCCTTTGTGGATTCCATCCGTGCTGGTGTTGGCTCTGTCATGTGCTCTTACAATCAGATCAACAACAGCTACGGTTGCGCAAACAGCTACTCCCTCAATAAGCTGCTCAAGGGCGAGCTGGGATTCCAGGGCTTTGTTATGAGTGACTGGGGTGCGCACCACAGCGGTGTTGCATCTGCTCTGGCCGGCCTGGATATGTCTATGCCTGGTGACGTCCTTCTTGGCAGCCCTTACTCTTACTGGGGAACCAACCTGACCATCTCTGTTCTGAACGGTACTGTCCCGGAATGGCGCGTCGACGACATGGCGGTCCGAATCATGTCTGCTTATTACAAAGTTGGACGCGACCGCTTCCGCACTCCTCCTAACTTCAGCTCCTGGACCCGTGATGAGTACAATTTCAAGCACTTCATGGTCAGTGAGGACTGGGGCAAGGTCAACGAGCGCGTGAATGTCCAGCGTGACCACGCTCAGATCATTCGCAAGATTGGTTCTGATAGCACTGTTCTCCTCAAGAACAAGGGTGGTGCACTCCCTCTGACCCACAGTGAGAGGTTCATAGGCATTCTGGGAGAGGACGCCGGGTCCAATGCTTATGGCGCCAATGGCTGCGCCGACCGTGGCTGTGACAACGGAACTCTGGCTATGGGCTGGGGTAGTGGAACTGCGAACTTCCCTTACCTGATTACACCCGAGCAAGCCATCCAAAATGAAGTCCTGGAATACAGCAACGGGCAGACCAACGTCTTCGCTGTGACTGATAACTGGGCCCTCACCGAGATGGCCGCCCTTGCCTCCCAGGCTGATGTTGCCCTCGTGTTCGTGAACGCCGACTCCGGCGAGGGATTCATCAACGTTGACGGCAACGAGGGTGATCGTAAAAACCTGACTCTCTGGAAGAACGGCGAAGAGGTGATCAAGACTGCTAGTCAACACTGCAACAACACTATCGTCGTGATCCACAGCACAGCCGCTGTTCTGATTAGTGACTGGTATGATAACGACAACATTACCGCTATTGTCTGGGCTGGCTTGCCCGGCCAAGAGAGTGGTCGTAGCTTGGTGGATATACTGTATGGTCGCATCAACCCCGGTGGTAAGACTCCATTTACCTGGGGTAAGACTCGCAAGGACTATGGCCCGCCTATCCTCACAGTGCCCAACAATGGTGCGGATGCTCCTCAAGATAACTTCGAGGATGGTGTCTTCATTGACTACCGCCGTTTCGACAAGGACAACATTGAGCCCATTTACGAGTTCGGTTACGGTCTGAGCTACACCAAATTTGCCTTCTCCGACCTCAAGGTCACCCCTCTTACCTCATCCGAGCGCCGCGAATACAAACCGACCACTGGAAAGAGCCAAAAGGCCCCCGTTCTCGGCGAACCTGGCAAAGTCTCGGATAACCTGTTCCCCGAGGGAATTAAGCGTGTCCGCCAGTATCTTTACCCGTGGTTGAACTCCACCGACCTGCGTGCCTCTTCCGGTGACCCTGACTACGGCATGGACTCTAAGGACTACCTCCCTGAGGGTGCTACCGATGGTTCTCCCCAGGACCTTCTCCCCTCTAGCGGCAACTCCGGAGGTAACCCGGCTCTGTTTGAAGATCTCTACCAGGTGACCGCTACTATCACTAATACCGGCTCCGTGACTGGTGACGAGGTTCCCCAGTTGTACGTCTCCCTCGGCGGCGATGATGACCCCTCAAAAGTCCTCCGCCAGTTTGACCGAGTCACCATTGCCCCTGGCCAGGCCCTCCAGTGGACCACCACCCTGAACCGACGTGATGTCTCCAACTGGGACGTTGCCTCCCAGAACTGGGTTATCTCCAACGCCCAGAAGAAGGTGTATGTCGGCAACTCATCCCGCAAGTTGCCTCTTTCGGCCGACTTGCCATCGGTTGAGTAAATGCCCTTTTTTTTTCTGGAATGGAAACAGGAGGGTACTCATGTCCACATGAGTCATTTTCTTTAGGTTGTACATCCATAATTGCTTTTTTTTGTACATAGTTTTCCTTTTCTCTCAAGGCATGCCTCTTGTGACTACTTGATAGTTAATGAAACCAATTAGTATTTTTTATTCATTGTGTTTATATAAGCATAAAATTGTACTCCCGATGTCGTGATCGAGCGGGTACAGCCGCTAGGCAATAGCCTATCTGCAGAACCATAACTCCGAGGACATAAAAGCCGTACATCCATTCAACCAACCCCTCAATCTTACCTCTTAAAACAAATTCATACACCGACAAACTCATAAAATGCAAGCCATCCGTGTCCATCCAGCACCACCATCTGCAACACCTTATTCCCCAACCAACCCCGCGCCAACAACAGCTCTCCACAATGACAAAATCCCCATCCCAACTCCGACAGCCCCAAACCAGCTCTTAATCCAAATCAAAGCAACAACCATAATCCGTGACATGCTGACATGGCCCGAGACATACTACCAGCCATACACAATCCCAGGCCACGATTTCTCAGGCACAGTAGCATCAGTCTCCCCAGGTTCAACAACAACCCTGAAACCCGGCACCGCCGTCTTCGGCATGACATCCGCAGACCACGGCTCAACATGGGCGTCGTACGCGCTCGTCACTACCGATGAAGTCGCAGTGAAACCAGCGAGTCTCGGGTGGGAAGAGGCCGCGGCATTACCGCTTAGCGCGCAGACGGCGTACGAGGCACTCTTTGTGCATGCGGGTCTTCAGCCTCCGCTTTTGGGCGGAAGTGTGCAGTCGGAACCGCAGCATCAACAGGGGAACAATTATCAGCAGGCTGGTCAGCTGGGAAAGCGTGTGCTTGTTACTGGTGCTGCGGGCGGAGTTGGGGTTTTCCTCGTGCAGCTTGCTGCGCGTGCTGGGTTGCATGTTGTTGCGGCTAGTGGGTCTGTTGCGAGGAATGGGACGTTTTTGAGGGAGTTGGGGGCTGACGAGGTTGTTGAGTATGCGGATTTGGAAAGTGGCCAGGAGGGTCGGTTTGATGCTATTGTTGATTCGGTTGGTGGGGGGGTTTTGGAGGGATGTTGGGGGCTTGTGAAGGAGGGAGGTGCTTTGATATCTGTTGATTCGGCGAGCTTTGATTTTGTTGATGTTCATGCGAAGCGTGGGTTGAGGAGGGATGGGATCAAGGCGTTGTTTTTTATTGTTGAGGGAAGTGGGAAGGTGTTGCGTGCACTGAGTGAGTTGACGGCGAGGGGGGAGTTGCGGTCGTTTGTTGCTGCTAGTTTTGGGATTGACCGAGTGAATGAGGCTTATGATTATGCTAATGGTCGGTTTGACGGTCGAGGGAAGGTTGTGCTTACAGTTTAGAACCACTAATTCTATGCTTGATATGTTACAATTCGGCAACTGCCAGTAAGAATTTCATGTAACTAGATAGACGTTAAACCATTTGCGCGGTATAATCTTTCCCTGGCAAGCTATCATAACGCATCCGCGGTCCCCGTGGTGGCCCTGTCTGTAGCTGAGTGACCCATTCCTTAAAGGAAACGCCAGCTCTCTCAGCGTCGAAGACAGCAACCACCGGCCCATTCGGCTCGGTAGATCCACTCAGCTTGCTCAAATTATCGCGCAAATGCAGACGATGACCTCGATAACCGAGATGTTTCAAGGAAAGAGACCGTAGCGAGAATCTGTCTCCGAGAAAATCCCAAACCTGTCGCCAAGCAGCACTGCTCTCCTCATTTATCTCTGGGGAGTCCCACTTTGACAGATTATGGCCACTGTCGGTGTCCATTGGGGCCGCACCCCTCAAATTCAAGGACTGTAGGGCAAGAATCCTCAAAGTCGGCACTGTGGAGCGCAAAAATGCCTCGAAGGTATCATATGTGACTTCAATCCAATAGAGATTAAGTTCCACTAGCTGGGTAAAGTTGAGACGCTGGGAGAGGTCGATAAAATACTGAGGGCTCATTGCACCGTTCCGGTCCCATTGTGAGAATGTTAGGACCTTGAGACTTGGTGCAGCAATTATAGGGATATCGGTGAGATATCTGAGTGTAGAATCATCTGATTGTACTTCCCAGACGCAAATGCAGAGGTGCAGATACTCTAATCCTTCCAGGGAGGAAAGCGGGGATTTGTGCGTGAGTTTGAGTGTAAGATCCGAAGGTGGCAGAGCACAATGGTCACCATTGCATGTGTCTAACTTCTTGAGTTTCCTGTTAGAGGCAACCGCTGCCTCTAGGAGAGCTGCAAAAGTTATAGCATGGTCCTTCGCTCTGCTCTTCCACAGGTTGTGTATGGGTTTTCGGACGTTCAATCCGAATGGGTTGAATCCAAGCTGGCGTTTCACCCGGCGCCATCCGAGAAACTGGACCTCATCCTTTGCAATCGGATTTGAATTCCAGAAAAAGCTCGAGTCCTTGAGTTGCATTCTAATAACGGTGAGGTTCTTAAATTTTGCCATACATTTATCGAGGACGTTGTTAAGAGTACCGGATTGGATGATACTGAGATGATCCTCCACTACAGCCTGATACGCAGTGTGCTGAGATTTGATCTGGGCGACAGACTTAGATGGCCTGTCTCTATGTGAAGTGATGCAGGACTTGAAGGAATCAACATCCATCTCATAAAAGCCCCCGAATAAAGACGGTGCAACCCATAGCTCTTGAACTCGTGTTCGGAAGCTATAGTTTGCAGCGAGCTCTTCCAATCGACCAAGACTGTGACTGGTGAGGATCAGGCCGATACTCTTGCAATACCGGTCCGCGAAAGCATCAAGCGACTTCGTGTACACTGCAAGGCAGGTGGTTCGAAAAGCGATCCAGTCGCGTAGCTCCAGATTGCTGCAGATATCACAAACGAGCTCGGTGGGAAGTGTTGCAACGGACATCTAGACGGGTGTTATGTGTTGAGTGAAAGACAGAAATGAGGAATACTGTTAACCTAGGTGCCTCGAAGTGGGTATAGGCATCATGTGATTGGATTAATCGGCTGGCAAAGAGACACCGGGTATCCTTACTAAGGGCGTGCACCTTTTTGGCCTAGTGGCAAAGTTGTAGTGTAATTAAATCCAAAGAGTGCATAACCCAAGCATAAATTTGCTGGCTCACTCTGTACAGCTATACAAATTGCACTTGTGGATTTTTTACAGGTAGCGGGACTACATTTTGGTGTCGTCATTAGAAGTTTGCTTGGAGAGATTGGAGCTGCATACGCAGCTGGGATCTTGAATAGGAGAGATGCCATCAGCATATACGTCATTAGTCGTATTCTCTAGAATAGTAGATGAGATTATAAGCATGAAGCAATACAATTGTATTAAAAATTCTAAAACCGTGAAAGAGGGGAGGAAGAAAACCTTGGGAGGTCTCTATGGAGAGACCACGAGAATATGAGAGACTTCAACCATTACTACTATCCAAAGTGTCCACCATACATAGTTACAACACATGGATTTCCAGCAATTCACCAAACCCAGGGTCCTATATCCGTATTATAGCCTCTCTCCTCCACTGTGGCCGTATGATAGGCATTCTGCTCAGTTACACGGGAACTCTCATCATCAGAGCTATCGAATGGAGCAGGCAGCTCTCTGATTTGACATTCACTAATTTGATGAACAGTAGGCGTAGGCAGAGAAGAGCGCGACAGAATCTTTCTGTGACGAGCAACTGCCTGGTCGATTATATCCTGGACCTGGCCAATAATCTGGCGCTGCTCGTCGTCCCAGGAGAATATCCTGATTGTATACTGAAAAAGAGGTGTTAGTGACAAAATTTCTCAAGCTTCCCTCAAACACAACGGGGCTTCCAAAGTTACCTACCCGACTTTTATTGGTAAGTTGTATGAATACCCATTTTGACCCGTCAGTTATGACACCGTAGATGACTGCGTCCCTTTCTGCGAGCTTACGAGCATGGTGAATACTCGCCATGTTTTGAAGCAGAGTCCAACCCCGAAGCACCGGACTTTTAGACTTCATAACAATCATGTTTGTTTCCAGCTCCCAGCAGTGGCCATACCACAAAACGTAGTCAATGATGTTCTCTGGGGCTATACCTTTGTCGTTTTCTATTCCTAGCGTGAATATCCGCTTTCGAAAGCTCCAGTGGGGTGAGTTTAGGGGCCCATGGGGATCAAGGGACTCTTTCTTGATCTTGTCTGCAAGCAGAGCGAGGAGAAGTGATTCTATTCTCATTGGGAACAGCGGATGCGTACTACTGTCCCGAGCGGTGACTAGCTCAAGATCGTCCCACAAGCACACTAATCGGTCGTTAGTAAATAATATACAAACCAGATAGATTAACAACCGCAACTCACCGAGATGATCTGGGATGTTCCAGGTGTTTCTTGCGTTGAGTTGCCTCTTATCCCACCACCTAGTCGGCGAGAGGCCAAAGGCCTCTACGACACCTTGGTATTCCTTAGTTGCCTTGATCATTGCACAGTCTTCAATCATTGTAAATGAATTGAGTAGAGTGTTTTCAACTGAGTGACAAGAAAGTAAAGCCGAATAAAGCCGAGTAATTGAGGAGTAGAGAGAGTGTGTAGGTGTAGGGTGTAGGGGGCAAACAGAAGAGAAGGTATAGAGAAGGTATAGAGAAGAGAGATAGAGGTGCTCACATGACTCAATATTATGTGCTTTTTCCTTTTCTGGAAACGGCCTTCAACCTTGAAACCTGACGTCGGAAGCCATCCATTAAGTGTCGGACTTCATACCCCTTGTAGGTATATTCTTATAGATCTCTAGTTATAACAAGGTATGAAGACATCTAGAGAGACATCTAGAAATACATCCAATGAAACTTAGTAATCAATCCATGGATACTACCTAGGTACCAATGTACTAAGCCTTTTAAGGAAGTAAGTCGCACCTACCAGATTAAAACCTCCCATCTTCCCATATTGAGCTCTTTACTCTGACTTACACATCTTTTCTTTTTTTCACCTCGCAGCCCGTTAAATTCCTTCTTTTCTAACCATGGAGAAAATCGTCGAATCTCGAAAGTCAAAGCACAAAGTTCTCGAAAACAGGGTACGTGCCATGCACAAGAAATCGGAAAAGATGCCTACAGTCGCCATTACCGACCTCGAACCGAGTGAGATTCCCCATCACTTTAACCTCACTCACTGTCTGCCCACCGAGTTTGAATTTTCTCCTCGCAAGACTGAAAAGCTTTCTCTCCCTCCTCACCTGAGTAAGTTAGATTATTGATATGAATAGGTGTATACACTAACTTTTATAGATTCTACCCTCGTAGACTATGGCATGGCAACCAGTGGCTCACCAATAAACGAGACCTTGATACGATCTCGTATTAGTGTGATTATCCTGACAACTCTGGCTAAGATGAAGCGTGAGCTTCCTGCAAAGCCCCGTACACCCGTTGTCTCCTCCACGTCACCCAAGTTTGTTCACCTGAAATTTGATCGCGAGATAGAATTCATTTGGAAAAGCGATAATCGACGGGTGAGACTCTCCGGTATCGTTGACTACTCGCTTTGGTATGGCATGCCTGATGACTATTCCACTAATATGACCACGATCGAGGCGAGCCAGCCAGACTTGATCAAGCGTGGCGTATTTAAATGTCTCGCCTACATGGGTAAGTGGTTTTTATTTACATGATACGTGACATTGTGCTAATATGAATAGCGATGGTCCATGAAACGAGGAAGCGGGCTAAGGTTATAGACACGTCAGTGTATGGAATTGCAACAGACAGTTTCGAGTGGGTGTTCATCCGGATTCGTCCAAATGGCGAGGTGAGAAATTTCCGTGAATCTTGCTATAACACTACTAATACATTTTCTAGTGGACCGCGAAGGCCTACCACTGGGTGCACAATGCGCAAGAGATTGTCTCGATGCTGGCAAATATTTTCGCCCATGCTGCGACTAGCCACAAATGGTGGAACCTTGGGGTTGAAGCGGAGTTCTCAACTTCGTTAGAGCAGCCCAAGTTAAAGCCAAAGTCAATGCGAGATATGAGGCACAGCATCTAGGCTTTGAATTCTTGTTGATATATAACTCGGTTGCTTTTGGTTTGAAACTTAGTGAAATCATCTCTGGCCCCAAATCAGATGCAAAGGACCATCCCATGTCTATTCTCTAGAACTGTCATGAAAAGCCTCCAACAAAGTCCTAAAACCCGATCCCTCTTTTGACAAAAGCGCTTTGGGTGTATCGAACTCCACAATTTTGCCGTTTTCAATGAGAGCAACTTTGTCAAAATCTAGGACTGTATGCAGTTTGTGCGCAATAGCGATGACAGTTTGATTTTTGAAGTGCGTTCGAATGACGGTTTGCATGAGCGTATCTGTGTCCGAGTCCACACTGCAAGATCTCTTAGCAAAAGGCTGTATATACGTTGCTTTTTCCACATACCTGCTAGTAGCCTCGTCCATGATAATAATATTGCTGGATTTGCAAAGTGCTCTTGCGAGGCAGAAGAGCTGTTTCTGCCCATGAGATAGTAAATCATCAGACATATCGATATCCAGCCCTCCTTTGAGTTGAATGTAAGACCATAGATTGACTGCTTGTAGGGATGCAATGATTGTTTCATCAGTTGCATTTTCGTCGGGATTTGCATTGAGCCGTACCGTGCCATGGAGGAAAAAGGGCTGTTGCGGAATGGTGTTGATCCTGGACCGAACGTGTGCTCTGGAGACCTTTGAAATATCTATGCCGTCAATTAGGATTGTACCGCTATTTAGCTCTAGTATTCGTAGAATTGCCGAAACAAGGGATGATTTCCCACTAAAATATAAATCAGTGAGTGCTGACGCAACCTGATGTGGGACAACACAAACCTGCCAGTCCTGCCACAGAGAGCAATCTTTTCGCCGGGGCGAATTTTGAGATCAATTCCCATAAGAACAGGCTCCGAAGAGGCACTAAAAGACTGTTTAGCATGTATCCTAAGAAGCCCAAGAAACACTCAAGAACATACTCGTAAGATGCTGAAAGGCCGGCTATATCAATCCCACCCTGCTGAGGCCAGTCCTCCGGAACAGCCTCTGTTTCGGAAACTAGATCCTCGGTAGTGGCTTGTAGCACATATGAGCGAATTCTAGAAACCGCCCCAATGGAGGTTTCCAATCCAATCCAGTATGTAACAAGCGTCTGAAGGGTGCCACTGAAATTGACAATGTTGAATAGTGCGATACCCAATAAGTTCATGGAAGGGCTACCCTTCATCGAGATTGCAACAGTGATGACGATAACAGCGATACATGCCACTATCAAATCTAGCACAAGACCAATCCAGCGCTGAATGCAATAAAGCAAATAAGATGGGCGCTGGGAAGCGTCGAGGGCAATTTGATTGCGGCGGCGGTAATCCTCTGTCCAGCCATAGGCTCGAATGCTAGAGAGGCCATTGAGGGCTTCTAAGAATTGCGAGAATAAAGGTGCTTTGGCTTCAATGTCTAGCAGACGCATTTGGCGAGAGGTTTGGACGTAGAATCTTGCCACGTAATATATCACCAGGACGCAGACTGGGATCACTGCTGCTGTAACGTAAGAAGAGCCAACAAAGACTAGAAATCCTTCTACAACACAGCTTAGCGCAGCATTGACTGTTAGCTCCAAGGCTGAAGGAAGCTCGTCGTCAATGAGCTCCAGATCTTGGCTAAATCTGTAAACAAGGAACCGGGTCAATAAAAGGAGATTATTTTAAGAAAGAATAGCATGCCGACCTGTTTGTGGTGCTTCCAATATCCGTGGAGGTAAGAAAAGAGGTCGTGGCTCTAAATCAAAGGTCAAAATAAGTAACACCCAGCAATTGCTATTTTACGTTCTTACCTCATTGTGGTACTCAAAAGAATCTCGTGGAACCGACGGGCTGTTCGGGGCTGTATGATCATGATGAGGATCCTATACAAAGTTAGTCATAGAAGAACACTTCCAAAGTCGATAAAAAAACATTGCCATCATACCAAGTGCCAATAAAGGTAGTTAGAAGTGAGAAGAAACCAAGTGCAGCATATACACCTAACCAGTAATGAACATGTTCATTGGGGTGCTGTTCATTGGCACGGGTCCACCACTGCAACCATATTTCTGTGTAGAATGTTAGGTGTGGAACAAGATGCCCAGGTAGGATTTTTGAAACTGACGAGGAAAGCTGAGACCGAGAATAAAGAGAACACAGCATGCAAGGAAGAGCGATAGAAGAGGCCAACCAATGTTCTGGAAATAGAAGCGATAGACAGTCCAGTCGCCAGTTCGTCGACTTAAATCCGTGTGTTGGTCATCCAAGTCCAATTCCCGCAATGCTTCGTCGTCCAAAGCAAAATTGGGGGGTTTGGAAGTGTTGACTTGGTCAACACCATTGGAAAGCATTCTAATATCACCACCGGTACTGGTGAGATCACTATATGACCCGTGTTGGATAATTCGCCCTTCCTTATCTAGCGCGATGATATCATCGGCATAGTGAAGATGATGCGCTGTGATGATCATGTTATTGAATGACTTGCACAGATACAGGGCATATACATACCTGAGTTTGTTGCCATAATCACTGTTTGCCGAGAATGCTTGATGGAACCATGTTCAGCAAACAAATTATCTAGAATTACCTTCTCAGTTTCTCGGTCAAGGCCCGTTAGGGCGTCGTCTAAAATAAGAACTGGCTCTTTCGAGTATAGGGCCCGCGCAAGCGCCTAGGGAACCTTGTGTTATTCCAAGTCTTCTCATGCACAGGGTTAGATTTACATACCACGCGCATTTGCTGTCCACCACTGAGTCGAGAACCCCGAACGCCGACTTTTGTCTGATCTCCCGCAGAAAGTTGTTGGAAATCGGCCTGTAAAGCGCATAACTTCGTAACCTGGTCGTACCAGGGTCGATCCCATGGCGATGCACCCACAATATTTTCTTGAATTGTCCCGAATGTAATCCATGGCAACTGACTACAATATGCGGCATGAGTGAAGCTGGTGGAGATTGAGCCAGAATGTTCTGGGATCTCCCCCATGAGCATCTTCAAAAACGTAGACTTGCCACTGCCAACAGGCCCAACAATCATTGTAACCTTAGACTCTTGGATGTTGGTGTTCAGATCTTTCAGCACCGGCTCAGTGTCAATTGACCAAGCTACAGAGAGGTTTCGAAGGATAGCACAAGGTTCGATATGATGTTCCCAGGCTGAGGAATCAGTCTCAATTAGAGGCACTTTACTAGTACCTTGCACTGATAGAGACCCCTGAGTATCGTGCTTTAATCGGCGGTCAAGTCTTTCCGCTTCCATCAAGTGCTTTTGGATCCGCTGAAAGCAATTGACCACGGCCATCAGATCCTCTGAGCCATTCACAATAGAGCCCATTGGCTGATCCAACAGCGAAAAGAGTGTCAGCGCAGAAAAGGCCAGCCCGTTTGTCAGTGTAGCTGTGTCATTTGCTTCGGCAAGAATGACATAAACACCAAATCCAAACACTGGGGCCAAGGATGAAGAGGCATACCCTATATTATTAGCGAAAACCTCACAGCTGGAGCCGAACATACCTAGTGTAATCCCCAATGTTTCGTAGAGTCGGAACGGAAATGAAGCATCGATTTCTGCAGAGCGCAAATCCCGAAGACTGCTGGAGATGGTTTCTGTCAAGCCTGCCATCTTGACGTTTTTCATCACTCCAAGAACCTTGGAGGTAACAGTCACTCGCTCTTCAACAGCCTCGAGCCATATGCCTTGTGATTTTCCACAAGCGACTGCCAGCGGGACACCTGCAGCCAAACATACTAAATAATGGTCAAGTCAGCCAAAGGCTCTTTCAAAAGAAGAATGTTATGAGGACGTACCGACAACAACCGTAGTAGACGCGATTGTCGCTACATTGAGCAGTCGTGCTAGTAGCCACAAGGCCAATACAACCTCGGTAAAGTTAGAGTATAACTCGTGCATCTCTCCGAGACCATTTCCGATCCGTTCGATATCAGTACTCATCAACGTAATGGCAGCAGTATCTGAGATAACCGTTGTGCTCATCCGCAGAGTTTTGTTGAAGATTAGCGTGACTAAACTTCCTCGGACCATGGTAATAACGCGGTATGTCTTGTGCTCGTAAGCAGCATATGAGATCTATGGATGGACTAGAATCAGTAGAATTTCCACGAAGCCACGAAAGGCTACATACGGCGATACCGAGATACACAATAGCATAGGCACCGATAAGTCCGTGCGCATAGTTGGCAGAGTTAACGTGCTCTGGTTCAGTCATAAAATCGAGTACGCGCTCGACGAGAAATGGCTGGGCAAAGCAAAATCCCGTGTATGCAAGCCGGGGTAAAACACCCTCCAGAAAGGCCCATTTGTAGTGAGATACGAAGGTCCATAAGAGTGAATTTTGATGATACTTGTTGGCTAGGGATCTGAATCAATTTGTGGTATGATAAAGGAGATCGTAACTCGGGAGCTTACCTTTGTCCCATCTTTCAAGGAGTGACTGGGGATTTGAAGCAGCGCTGATATCATTGTCGAGAGTAGGTAGGCTGTCAACTGTCAAAATATCTTTTGACCCGCGCCAAAGTAGTTCATTCAGCCACCAAAATATAGCGCGATTCAGCACGCCACTGGTCGACTCGATCGGGCTATTTTCATATCTCTTTTTGAGCAAAGATCTCTTTTCTGTCGCCTCCAACCCGAGAATCATCGCTTTGATGACCCACGATATAGCAAAAAGAACGGTCACGGTTTGAGTAATGGGCATAAAATACAGAGTCCGAAGGCGTACGAGGTCGAAGAGCAAGGTAAATGCAAGGAAGACATTGATCACTGTAGATGGGCGTATGGAGCGGAGATGCTCAAGATGAGACAAGTAGGTCAGAAAAAGGGAAATAATGACAGTCACAAAAGTTGTAATCACAGTTGCTTTTGTTTTGAATGTGGTAGGCTGACACCAGAGAGCTAGTAGGACCATATGACATCCTGTGTAAAACAGCCACAATAACTACACCACGCTGGTTAGCGCAAGGAATGTGGGGAAGCACAAATGCTTGGAGCTTGGAGCTTGGAGGGCCCTATACCTCCTTCGTGGCATACAACCATGACCGGTTGACCTTTTCTGGGACAGTCGAAAGCTTCCAAATTCGAATAGATGCTGCTAAACAAACAATACCGATCGGCCCGAGTGTGAGAATACCCTCTTCAAACAAGAGAGTGAAGTCAAATCCACGCAGACAAGAAGGAGCGACAATTGGCCCAAAGGCATCCTCCTCCACAGAACAGTCTAACATGTCTGTCGGGAATCTTGGGAGATGTGTATGAGCGGATATGAGGCTTAGTGTGGGGTGAAATATGAGAAAAGGGGGAAGATTGCTGTTGCCTAAAAGATGAGACTGAACATTTTTGACTCACAACTCGAATGCCATCCTGAGATTTGGAACAGACACCTCGTATTCTTTTTAATTGATGACTCCTGAAACTCATTGTGCCCAGGTATCGCATGTTCGTGACTAATTGGTGAATCAGCCGCAATCTCAAGGATCGGATGGTAGGCTAGGTATAGGACCAGGCTCACTATTGTACCTGGTAAGCGTTTGGTTCAACGCGAGCTTTCGGGATTGTACATCAGTGGGTTTAACAATGACTATTCACAGGCCACAGAGTGACACGTAAATTCATATGTACAACGTCTCTAGTCTTTCACCAAAATCAATATCTCTTCTCAACAAATACCAAGGACACGTACATCCAACGATGAAACGATTATAAACAGAGATTGAACGATGCATCTAATATGAGAGGTCTGCTGCCACAAATTGTCTTTTAGTTTACAATACCTCTTTCAAATCCATCACACTTGCGGAGACCCGATTATTGGTACCAGATAGCACTCCAGCAGAATGTACAACCAGGTATCGACCTCCATCCTCCGACAGCACCCGTAGAGACCGTGTGTAGCCGTGTTCTTCGGGCGAGGCGATCTCTGTCCACTCTCCTTCGCCAAGAGCTTTGTTAATGAACAAAGTACTCTGTGTACCGGAGCTGGCGATGATAGTGCCATTTTTTCCACCGTACGGTGTCCACACGGCGTACGGTGAAGATGTCGGCTGAGTACCACTCGAGACTACGAGACGCTGGCCTGGGGCGGAGGCGATCTTTTCGGGGTCGGACGACAACCGGTAGTAGATAGGGAAGGAGTAGCTTGAGGTACCGAAGAAAGAGCCGTATTCATAAATGTAGAAGTATTGACCGTTCGGGAGCTGGAAATGTTAGCATTATCTGGGCATGGCAAAGAGCAATCGCAATTGAATCGATGTCTTCCGTGTAGCTTACCTTGGTCACAACTGGCATGCCGGGTCGGTCGGTATATGTCGGATAGGTAACATCCTCTACAACAGGTCCCCAGTTCTTCAGATCAGTTGAGACCTGGTGAACCATTGTCTGTCCGTAGGTTGCATTATCCCGCTGATCCGAGTAATAGCAAATCAACTTGCCCTTGCTGTGAAGGGAGTTAGCAAGTTATTTCAAGACACATTATAATAACATACTGGGTGAGTAAGAATGGCTCCCATACAGGAGTCAGTCCATTGTTCGGTAGCGCCTCTCCTCCGGCAGCAATATGGCTAACAAACTTCCAATTCACGCCATCGTCCTGCGATGCGTACAGATCGATATGCGTGGACGACAGATCAGTAGGAATGCTACTACCAGCTAGAAGTAGAGTGCCCTTTTTAAATGAGCCGACGCGCTCGGGCAGGGAGTAGAGGAACGGCTGGTAACGCAGGCCGTATCCGTTGGCAGTGTCATGGACCTTGGAGATCTCCTTCCAGGTCTTTCCGTAGTCCTTGGAGCGGTAGATGGGGAAGTACACCGCCGGTGGTTCTGGGGAGTAGTTTTCCCATGTTGCAAGAAGGTCGCCATTGGGCAGCTGCTCGTTACGTGGGTAAAGCGTTCGTGGAACGATGTAGTCGGAGGGTGGTGAGAAGATGGTCACATTTGTGAGGGAGGTAGGGGAAGAATGCTGGGAGCGTGGGATTGTCACTGCAGCTACAGCTGCAGCAAAAGCAAGAACCTGTGGGATTCTCATGGTTGGTATGCCCGAGCTAATTGGTATTCTATCTTCATTAGCAGCATTATCCTCCTTTTATAAGTCGATTATGTCAAGAATTAAAGTTGATTTCTTAAAAGAGTATATAGTAGTCCGGGGCTATCCCGCCGGAATTAACCTTATTGTGGACTAATTCCAGGGTATTTCATCTGAAGAATTTCCATCAATTAGGGCCATCGTAGATAATCCGGGGAAATATCAAATGACGACATCAGCCGGAATATCACGTGGTACCACGTGGTTATGGCCCCATTTCATCTGGAAGAAAACGTGGGTTTCTTCCCAAGGTTTATTCTGTCTACGGGTACTCTGTACTCCCTAATCAATCTGGGCTCCTCTCCACCCGGGCAAGGCTAAGCATGGATTCCTAGGGGGCTATAAAGGTTGGGAGACAACCTCGTATTGACCACAATACACTTTGACATTTGAATCTTTAAAGTCCTCCAATTGGGCAACACAAGCCCCCAGGCAGATTGGCCCCCACCATCCACAACCAAATTTAGCAATGCCCAAAAAGTTGACCAATGATGAACGTGGATCAACACTCTAGTACTAACTACGTTGCCTATCAACACACAGCCTTCCAGCATCGCCATAATCTGCTGGCAACCAACATGCTTGAGAGTAGTTGATTGGGAGAAAGCCATCATCAATTCCCAGGGATTTGTGTTAGCCTAGGGCTGGGCTAAGATGGGAGACTTATTTACCTTGGAATTTTTCCACTTTTCGCATTCGGATTCAAACTGCCTTTCAGATCCCACCATTCTCCGAGACATCCGAGACAAAAATATCCCTTTCCAAGCACTTTCCAAGCACTAAAAGTGTTTATCCGAAAATGGTACCCACCGATTTCGTACATCGGCCAAAAGGCCAGTGGGCAGGGAAGCTACAGCGATCGACAAGGGAGTTCATCGGTCGTTCAACAGCCATGTGGGATAATTCCAAATATCGCTACCAACAATCGACAATGGAAATATGGCATAAATCAGCAGGCACATTAAATGATTCGAAGGATCGGTGTCACCAGTCAGCAAAATTAATGCTATATCGATCGGTGTCAAAATGGAATCGATCAGCAGATCAGTTACACCGAGTCGCTAGTATTGAAGACACAACACAGCATGTTTCAGCGCACGATTGGCAGGCCCAAGACCAAGCAACTCCACAGTCACGATTTTACTCACGGGCTCTCAACTCGGAATCGACAAAGTCATCCCCAAATCCCAATACCACATCACTCTCCACTAAAGTGAAACGAATCAATTCTGCCTCGGTCACTGGACCTTCACTATCTCCCGAGGAGCAAATCAGAGGGTTTTATGAGGCAACTGTACTTGTAAATTCCACGGTGAAGCAGACAAGACAGTTACGGGATGACAAACGGACAGTCCTGGGCGAAATCGAGATTGAGTGGATCAACTCAACCATCACGGATGCCGAGGATGCCGCGAATGATTTAGCTGCTTTTGTGAAGCAGTTTAAACAAACCAGCCGTCAAGACCGCAACAGTTGGAAGCGTCGTCACTACGAAGTTGCTCTGAGACAGGAATCCCGCATGCTTCTTTCTCATGGCAAAGTCGAGATGGTTCTTAACCACCTTAGCTCACTACCAACCACTTTGGGCAATGATAAAGTATTTTTCTCTCCATCTGAGGTTTCGACGGTCGTTTCTGCAATCTCGGAGCTTCCGCTCCCATGTGAGACCAGTGTCATATCTGTCTTTGAGCTTCCGACCTTATCACCTGTGAAAGCCGAGCGACCTATACCAAAAATCATCGTGACACAATTTGATGATGAGAATAACGATAACGATATATACTCCCTTACCGATGAAAGTCCTCCCCCAAGCTACGAAGTAAGTGGGATGAATAGCACGGCAGGGCTACAGTGACCGCATCACTACATGGCTTCCGAAGGTTGGACAAGGATCGATATGATTGTTATGTAGCTTATGACGATACCACACGAAGAATGAATCAAGACTTTATTTCTATATGTTACACCAAGTTCTGAGTTTGTAAAGTTCGATTATGCCAATCCAATCCTCTGCCTAGTCAATGAATTCCAAAAAAGCCACCGCACTGCAAAAATACACCCAAAATGGACACTGGGAACAACATCTAAAGGCGCGACTGGATATCAAATGCGTTAATCTCCTCAGTCACAGTGTTGACTGCCTCAACCGCCATTCCGTATCCAGCCTGGTAGCCAGTTCCACCGGCGCCATAGTTATGGACAACAACAACCCGACGTCCTGCAGTGCCTACTTGCACGTTTTCCCTGGCTACACGAGCGCCACCATCGCGAGATGGGCGTAGCCCAGCAAATGCACCAAGTATCTCAGTCTCGTTTGATTTCAGAACAGGAAGCAAAGCCGCCGTTCGAGTCAGAATTGATTCTGTCTCTTCTCCGAAGGTATCCGGTGTACTATCGATATAGTTCAGTTACTACCGTATGAAATGCCCAATAGCAAAACAACGATGAACTAATGTTGTTCTGGCAATGGGCTGAAAGGACCCTACTTACCTAACGTTCTTTTGCATGAATCCACCAAGGATCACATTTCCATTCGAGTAAGGTCGAGGAATCACATAGGTTTCATAGTCCTTACCATGTCTCATGATGTTTTGCTGAACATGAGATGCTCTTGCAAGTAGAATCTGACCTCTAGTGGGATAGCACTTCGAGTCTTGGACTCCCGGTAACTCTTTTGCTGCATTACCGGTGCAGTTAAATATTACCTTCGTATCATTGCTGAGATGGCCAGATGAGACTTGAGGCAACTTATTGCGAATGACTCGCACTCCGTATTTCTGGGTGAGCTTCTGTAACAAATATCGAAGGTGCATTGGTGCATTGAGCGTTATTGTCGTGAACTCTATGCCAAATGCAACACCCACTGGTAAGTCGTGAGCGGCAATCTCCTTGAACTGTTCAATGGAGAAGTCGATAAGCAAATCTAGGATACACAAGGAGGTCATCCATAACCCACATCTTTGAGATACGTGGCCATTGAATCGATCTTTTCACGGGATGGTAGCTCATCCCAATACTCCACCGAAGGTGTTTCTTTCACAAACGCGTTCTTGCCGTCCTTGGCTGCAAGATCGAGAAGATGCGTATATCCAAGCTTATCCCATCGCAACGCATTCGGATCGCTTGCAGAAATAGCAGAAAAATTTG